CTAAAAGAGTAATAAAAAATTTCTACAGAGAAGCTTTTTAGAAAGACATTACCGAAAGGAGCAGTCATAAAGTATGGATTAACAGAATTTTGACACTCCTTTTATGGCCCAAAAAGAAATCTGTTGCTATTTTTCGTCTTATTACTGGCCATGATTGTCTTTTAAAACATCTACATCGAATGAGCATTATCCCGCCCCCAGTTGGTAAATTGTGCAACCTTCATGATGAAATGGGTGTCTGAAATCTGAGTGGTTGCCTTGTACTTAATGTTGTATCACTTTGGGAGAGATATTGGGAGTCCGGACACAAAATAGATTGATAGATAATACTGTGGACTCTCATCTTTGCTTGTTCTGTCTACAGTTGTCCTTGTAATTTGCCATTAGAAATAAAAAAATATTGTTCTAATACATGTTATACATGTTGTTGAATTTGTTATTATGTTTCTAATCTGAGCAATAATAGGTGTTAAGTTCTCAAATTTTAGAAACTAATTAGAGAGTATTTATCATAAGTCTGCTCAGTGTAAAAAATTAAAATAGCAGGTTAAATAAAAACATTAAAAGTAATTTATAAATAAGTCCTTTGCATGGTTTGGCATACTGATTGACTAAAAGGATTAACTAGGAAACGCTTTTTAATTGTACCTCAATTAACAATTTTTATAAAATTTTTAATCCTAGATAATGTACATAATTGATCTTTTATCCGAGGAATACAGTTAAAGTTAAAATTTTACTTGATTTTTTGTTTAAAGAAAAACATAAGTATTATAACGGATTTTTTTAAACCTATTATTAACCTGTTCCCATTTGGGAACGCTGTCATTATGCTTTCGCTTAATCTTGCTTTGATGAATTCATATTTACTATATATGTATAATTTTAATATCTAAAATGACGCTAAGTAATTACCAAGAAATTATTTTAAATGTATTTTAATTATGTTTAATTTCTTAATTTCATCGTTAAGAAATTTTAAAGTCACTATTTCCTCTAATGTTTTTTTCACAATATATTAATGAATTATAGTACATTATTCTGTCCCTTAAACAAATTATTTCAAAAATAGTTTCGATGCAGGTAGTAATTGAAATAAATTAGTTTTTACATCAAACCTCGAAAATTTGTATTTTTTCCATTAAATATATCCAATGGAGAACATTGAATGGTAAATTTTAAATATTACTTCATAAACAGGCTTCAAATTATTTAAACAAAATCTCAGTTCAAAAATCTGATAATTTCTTTTTTGTAACAATCTTAATTTAAAAGATCAGATTTACTTCAAAAGTATAGGATTATGCGTAGTGTGATAGGTATAAAATCGTAGAAATAATGCATAAAATAACATATTCTGGACGTGCCGAATGTCTACTAGTCTCTAAATTACAAAAACTGGATTTCTTATTTAATTTCAAAATTCTTTCACAGCAGGCCTTTTTGAAGTCAAATGAAGTCAAAGGTAAGATAAAAAAAGGATTTACTAAAATCGTGCTCACTCTGTCGACAAGCTATTAAAACGAATAATAAAACAAGATTTTTGCATTTTTGCTTTATTACAGTACATCACTTAAAAATCAATACTATTAATTGTATAAGGTATTTATTCGTCCATTTCAACATTTTCTTCTGCGACTATCATTATTAGATGAAAAGTTATATAATAAATAATTTCCCCATCTTATGTATTAACAATTAGATAAAGAAAACTCGAATAAAATTCAATGTATTCTGACATTAATCTGAAGGAGCTGTCATATTGGTCAACTTTAATTAGCCTAATTTATTTTTTTATTCGAAATTGGCATAGTAATAAATATCATTAGCTGTAATTACTTAAAATCTGACAGTCGTAGGTTTGTAATTGTTCAAAAAAAAAAAAAAAACTACTGACGTATCTAAGCGATTTAATACATGGTTGATTACAAGTAAATGGAGCCCGAAAATGAGAAAGGAAAGCTATATCATTATTTCCTGTTTGCAATACGTTAAAGGAAACACACTTTGACATTCAGAGCATTAAAGAAACCACAAAACACAGATAAGTCACTTTAGATCCATCGTCAACAATAAATATCTCCCCAGCGTAGACTCCAAGTCAGCAGATAATGGCGTTTTTCTTTCTTCAGCGAAACCACAAGAACATCAACTCACCCTAGAGCTAGAACTCTATTGGCCCCGTGCGGAAAGCCTAATTAAATAACACCGGTTAAGGCAGGTTACGGAAAGCCAATTAATTTCCGCAGAGGCAACAGACAAAGAATTTAACTGCACTTCTTACGATAAAATAAGGCTTTCATATCGAAGAGGTTGCAGCATTAGTGATAAATATTGAACGGAAGCCTATAATAAACTAACACATTTCGGAGTGTACAAAACTGTAAACTCACATATATTTATGTTTCAAAAGCTTCTCAATTTCACTCGACAACTTAGATACCGTGACGAAGGAGAAAAAAATTCTCCATTCGTATTAATTCCCTAATGAATTTCGTTAACAATTGCAAAAAATTCCTGAATGCTTAAACCTATATATTTCACGCTTACTATTTAGTCTATGGCTTAAAGTGCGAAATGTTCCATTCACGAGGAAATGCCGTTAAGTAAATCCTCGTAGATATTCCAGAATATGAAATTAGGGAATGTATTTATTTTCGAGCAAACTAAACAGACGAATGCAGAAGTAATAAATAGTATACATTAGTATTTCGCAATGGTGTAAAAAACTTCTAAATATTAGGTTTAAGTTTCTTTGTCTAACTATGTCACAGTATTACAGTTATTTTAAACTGATACTGAGAAGATTTACTTCAATTAACTCCAAGTTAAAATTAATGGCTGCAATACATTGTTGTGGAGGTGATTAATTTCCTTTGTGAATTTACATTTTGAGTAAATGCTATATTCAAAATGCTAAATAAAAAGCATCAATTTTAAATGAAGTATTTTGCTTTAAATTTAAAAGATAAAGATGTTTCTTTTCTTTTGCAACGCTCCACTACTTGTAATTATTTTGTGATTATTTTACTATCAGCCAGTACGAAAACTGGCGTAAATAAGATGCAAATACATAATATAGTTAAAAGATTTTCAACAAATTTTATGTGAAACTTCATTCCAGCAAATACTTCACACATATTCATCACCTTTATTAGAAGTTTTAAAATAATCACCTCATTTCGTTCAAAGATATTTCCATTTTCTAATTATATATAAATTGAAGATAATACTAGATAGATAAATTAAAGCATTTTAATGAGACTTTTGAAGAAACCATACCTTAATGATGCTCAGAATCGTTAGAAACATCGATTGCATTAAGCGCGTAAAAATTAACCTAATTTATCTACCATATTAATGATTGCACTTTACACCAAACCTTTGAAATATGCTTTAAAACATTAAAATATGTTAATATTATATTTAGAGTCATTTAAAAGCACTAAAATTAGAATTAAGCATTCAGAAAGTTTCATAATGGATGTTTAAGAATTTAGCAAACTAAATGTTGCATTAAATTTAAAACGTGAAATTAGAATCAAACAAATCTTCTGTTACGATAAATATTAATTAATAGTACACAGACGACAGAAAATAATGGAAACTAGTATATGAACAAAAATATTTATCCTCAATTAAGTAAATGAAAAGTTTCTCTCGCCATTTTGGAAAAAAAAGAGGATACTTGCTATGTCTGATAACTAATGTGGCAAAAACTCTGGTACACTTCTCAACTATAAATTCTCGAAGTAAAGCTAATGCTCTTTCAGTAAATATATGTATATACAGTAAGAAATAGACATACGAGGTTCTACATTTAGTAATGATTGAGCTTTCAGATTCAGTAAAACAAAATATTTTGTCCACTTTATCAAAAAAAAAAAAATACAGTTTCTACTTTGAAAATGAATTGACTTTAATGTATAACACATCACAGAAGTTTGAATGGTAATGTGCTATACTCTTACGAGTAAAAATACAGTTCTAACCATAAAAACGAATTCAGTTTAATGTTAAACACATTGTTGAGTTTATGTACACATTTTATTTCGCTATCAACGTACAGTGATTCAAATCGTAAACAAATCGTTCTTATACAAATATTCTGTTGCCAGATTCCAAAGCTCAATGAAACTCCGGCGCGTAGGAAAATCGTGACTGACTTCACGAGCAGCACTGTCTACTGAGAGGCCGGGACACACATTATAGAAGTTTTAACGGTGACGTGCTCTTATAGCGAGAGGTGAAAATGTAAACTAGTAAACCTACAGAACGTCTGCGTACCTGTGAAAGAATTTGTAAAACGTCACTTAATGTATCTTCCCTAGGGCTATTTAGTCAGATTCAGCGACTACCATTCTACTGAAATACTGTTCCACCACGTAAGTTACTATTTTGAAATAGTTCTACATGAAATAAGAAAACTACTTGTTAAACATTTTTTATATTCAATTGTTGAATAAATACAGTTGTGAAAATCGTAAACTTTAGTTTTTTCTGACGATTCGATTTAAAATTTTTAAATGCATATTGTGTACTTTGAAAGCACGAAGACAGAAATTTATAGCTGAAGAACATTAATTATACATATTTAATCTTTAACATTTTTTAAGCAGAAACATATACTTCCTAACTGAAAATTCGCTTGATGGACTCTAAGCTTAAGTATCGTAATCACAAGGCAGTGAAATACCCGTTAGCAATAATATTACAGTAAATATCCATATTAAACAACTCTAACAGTCTCTCTAACTTCTTTAAAATAGATTTTCACCGTCTGGGGCAAATAGCTGTGTCTCAGAAAATACTGATTCAATAGAACTATTTTAATTAGAACTTTAAATATCATACAATATTAAAATAGAAACTTAATATAGAGGATCATCTTTTGAAACGATATTAGCAATTCTCACTACATCTCATTGCATTAAATGGATAAATATACTGTGCAAATTATAACAGAACCAGAAATATCAAAAACGCCTTACGTGACTTACGTCAACATAGACGCCTAAGAGCTCATAATTTTGCCCAGCTGGCACATCACTTGGCAAATATCGGAAGAACTCAACGTTGTTCTTGTACCATTTGACAGAATATAGCTCATCGTCTCCAAGTTCATACTGACATTTTAACCATGTGGATTCACCACTGTGGAGTGCTCCTGGTACATCCAGTTGTACAAATTTCAATCCCATTGCTGAACCTAAGATTAAAAGAAACCATGATATTTAATACAGTTTAACAGAAATGAAAGTAAAATACTGAAGAACGGCATAAAAGTACTCAGACCGCTATACATAATACATTGTTATAAAAAGCAGTATTTTTATATTCGATGATTAAACATTAAGTATTGTAAAATATTTCTTTCAGTAATGTATCTTATTATTATTCTTTGCATATAGGATAATTATCATTGGATAGATTTTTAAAAATAGTTTTAAATATTTCATGCTTTTCAAATTCAGATGATAATTGATTCCATTTGATGAGTCCAGTGATATGTTTTATTGTACTATTTACGAATATAAAAACCATATATGCATGCATACATCCATACATACATATATAACTATAAATTAAACAAAATACATATACAGACTAAAGACGTTTCATTGGAATTACTCTCTCAGGCCCAGTTCGTCTAATTTTAACGGCGCTCTACCAGCGGCCTAGAACTGAATTCTAGTATTTTGGCACGAATTCAGTTTCTGGAGAACAGGCTGGCGGCATGGAAATTTTCGTCGCTTTCCTTCATGTGAAACATAGATACGACACAATGTTTCTTAAACATTCCTCCACGAAGGCAAAATCTTCGTGCGCTTCACAGTAACTGTTAATCCGCAATTTTAATTGCATGTCCAATGTACTAAATACTACAGACTCTCACTAGATAACTTTAGTTTCCTTTTAAGGTAATTTTAACTGATAGTTGGATACTTGAAGAAGTGAAATTCATATTCAATACGTGATATGGCTTTTACTCACATTCTAAATGTGATATGGAATATGACGAACATAATATGTAATATCGTTCATAGGTTTGTTTATTCTGCATATAAAATGTGATGCTGTGCACAGAGAATGTCCTTTAGTGTTTAAATGCTAGTCGAGATTTCTAAAATACAAATTTTCAACTCAGTCTGCTGTTTTACAATAAGAATGCAGCATTTTTAAAATGCATGAGATTATTCTCAAGTAAATATATTGTCGATTCTTCTGTTTACTTCTTCTCAGATTTTTTGAAAATTTAATGAAAGATTGACAAAAAATGCATTATTTTGACTGCAGGTAAACTGTAGACGGTTTATTTGTTAGTTAAAGATAAACTCGTACAATCATTGCTACAAGTAACATGGAAAATGAAAATTCTTTAAAATACCTGTTCATAGCTGAATGAACTGCTGAAATCAGAATTTGGTCTATGATTCGGAACTTAACTGCAAGAAATATCTAGCCAGCAAGTCTTTTTAAAAACCTGAAAATGTGATAATTTTATTCTTGTTTTAGTAAATGAAACCACAGTGCCTGAAAGTGTCAAAGCAGATAATCCCTCGGATATCGATTTTCTTATTCCCTCAACGTCCGTCGTTTTTATTGCATCATTTCTTTTGGCGCTACAATCTCTTTTGAAAGTACTTTTAAAATTATTTTTGAACGAAAATTTTGCTTTATCCTATAATACGAATATTCTGCAGGTTATTTACATAGGATAGTATTGAATAATCTCGAAAGAATAGCTGAGCTATAAAACACAGCTGTGCTGTCTGATGATGCATAAACTTCATGAATGCCCATCAGCAGGTGTTGAATGATCTCATAAAATGGATCATAGAATTATTAATTAATTGTATGTAATTATTTTATTTTTCAATGCTTTATTATTATTTGCAATATTTATTGAGGTTTGTGTGAGGTAAAAATTTGATCAAAAGAGTAATAATCTGAGCAGTGATTTTCCAACATCTTTAAAGAATCTATATGTAGGCTTTCTTTCACTTTAATCCTTGCCGGGCATTCTGCATTATCATACATTTTACATTGCTTAAGAATACACAGTTCACTAAAATGCGAAAGGTAACATAATTAAATCATTTACTATTTACCTTTTGACTGTATTTATAAGAGTTTAAAAATGACTTTTTAGATTAAAAAGTATTTATTATTTTCCAACATTAAAAATTAAACATCAGTTTTCTCGTTAAAAATATAAATGTTTTGTCTTAAATTCCATGTAACAGCAAATGAAGAACTTTAAACTAGTGTTAAAAATTAAGAGTATCTGCAGATTGTGTCTGTTTTTCCTAAAAGGATTAAACCAAATGAACCCCCATAGTTCCGACCTGACTCCGATTCCATATAAACGGGCTGGCTGCATGGGCAATTTCGTAGATTTTCCCATGCGTGACGAGCTATATTCCCTCAGAAAGTCCTAAACGAAGGCATCTCTTGCCTTAGACTGATAACCCTGGTGTGCTTAGCCATAATCAACTAAATGAAATTGAGCCAAAGAATATGTAATCATAGAAAATATACATGTGCGTGTCTGAAAAACTCTGATTGTGAAGAGGACATCCTAAAGGAGTCGCACGAGGGTTTTTCTGCCATTTGTGTGCTTGCACTGTTTCAAGACATTCGCAGTGTCTTTTGTTAAGAGTTTGGAAACTTTTATAAAGTATAAGGTAAAATGAATCGCTCCAAACGTATTGATGACCGAATGAAATGGAAAATTATTGGTAGATTTGACACAGGCCTGTCCCAAGCGCAAATGGTACAGAGTTTCAATGTGACGCCCAGTGTCGTCTACAATTTATTGAAACGGTTTTAGGACACTGGACGCATATGGTACATATTTACACCTCTCAGCTATATGCTGCCACTGGAAACCTAGTTTCACGTTCTGCAGTTTCCCGAAGACTTCATGCCAGAAGACCCGCGTTTTGTGTCCCGCATAGTGCAGCCCACAAGGAATAGCATGGAGCTGACAATATGCTCTTACAGCTTCAGTAGAGCATCGAGCTTTTTAGAAACAAGTCGAAATTCATCCTGCACACTGATTCTCCGCGTACCTGTATTTGAAAAGCGTCTAGAACACAATACGTTTCTGCATCGGTGAAAAAGATGACTACGTTGGTAGACGTATAATATTTTAGGCAGGAATTACGCACACTTGCATGTATTTGATAAAAGCTCCCTGACTATTATAAGGTATAGATAGGAGATCTTAAAGTCCTATGTTCGACGTTTCAGGGGCGCAGTTAGTCCTGAGTTATTGTTAATGGACGACAACGCTCGTGCATATAGGGCTCAGGAAGTCGACGATTATATGGAAAATGAGGATATATGGAAATGAGCATGGACTGGTCAGTCAGATCTCATAGAGCACATCTGGGCCGCTCTTTAATAGCAGTTTCATTTCACCATCTCCCTTCGAGAACCATTCTGGTTATGAAAACTGCCTTGCTGCATTGAATGATCGACTGCCACAGCGACTCTTCACCTGCTTCCTGTCCAGTATGCTGTCATGCTGCGCGACCTTTCTGGATGTGAGTGGGAACTATACCCCACAATATACCATTTTCAGCTTGATATCACAACGGGGATTTAGGACATCCCTGTACTATGAGGTTTAGTGATAATCATGCGTACATAAAATGAGTTCTTAATGGTACCTCTCTTTCTCCATTATAAATGTATACTCATACAAAATTTCATTAAAATCTGCCCATTAATGTTTAATCAATGCGGCATAGTGTGAAAAGTCTCTTAATTTTGTGCATGAGTTAATTAATAAAAGAAATACGAAATTTCAGTTACGTTTAATACAGCAAACTTTTATTATATGTTATTTCATATTGTTTTCGTGAATCTGTACATACATAATTTAGCTGCGTATGGAATTCGAACTTTTTTATCTGATACACAGTTTAATATGTCTTACAGTTTCTTTTAGAAAATATTTAAAAAATACTTATAATATATCCTAGAATTTATTACGCTAATAAATCTTCATTACATAGCTACATTTACATTTTAGTTTTAATCGCGCTTTATGTATTTCCTTTCTCAATCAAAAATTAGCTTTTACTAAGCAAAAAATAACGTCTGTGTATTAACAATAAAACATTAACTTTTAAAAATAGTTAACGATTAAAAATTAACATTTTTTAAAATTAAGTTAAGATGCATTATAATTCTTGAACAGCCGCCCAGACGGTATGGTTAGGAGAACTTGACTGCGATAAGGAAGGGCCCGGTTTCGAATCCCGGAGAAGGCATGGGTATAAAATTGTCTCTCCCTTCAAATAAGAATTAAAGATGGCCACTTATTAGGTGACTCCACAATAAAATGGCCACCACTTGTGTCCTTAGCTTGGCCAATGCCGTTATAGGCAAGTGCCCGCCATAGGTAGAAAATAATAATAATTCTTGAACACCATGAGATATTGGAAAGCCTTTAAAGGAGTTTCAAGGAATATTAATCTTTTAAAGTTGTTAAATATAGTTTATTAGTGATATTCGTACATTTAAGCACGCTAATAAGGCGTTGAGTATCATAACCTCTAGCTCAGGAAAAAAAAGAATAACACAAGTTGTAAGAACCATTATTTCTTAATTAGACATTAGAAGATGTGTTTCAGCTCAGCCTGAACACGAAAAAAAAATGCAATTTCGGAAACGGTAAGATTAATCAGTAAGCTAAATGGTCAAAGCTCTTACCGTAACGACATAGTGCAGTCCTGTTGAACAAGATATTAGTTCAAAAATTTAGAGCCTCTGAATGCTGCAGGGGAAATCCGTCTAAACTAGCCAGATTTATAGTCCTTTAATAAATAATGCTGTGACATTAAACAAATATACTGAATGCTATTAACAATTAGTTTAAGCATAAAAAACATAATGGCCTTCTTGACAGATCCTGACTTTGAAAACTAACTTGTCTAAACCTCTCAGTGTTGATTAAATATCAGTCAGTTAAAATCATCGACCAGATGCAGAACGAATACAAAATGAAAACAAAAATCATAAAAGCTTTAGCATGGATAATTTCAATGCAATTAAGCAAAATAAAGTATGGCAGATATTTCGCGAAGTCTATTTGCAGGCTATCTAGCTTATTTGATGCCCATATAGAGCCCGAAGCTAAGGACCCGATAGTTTTAACTATACCGACCAAAGTTTTACAGGGGTTTTATT